AGCTTGAAAGACTGAAGGGAAGAAAAGGGACTTTCAACCTAGCTCCACACAGATTTATCCAAGACTTTAAAGGGCTTGCGTTCATAGCTGAGTCAGGCATCGTGTCAATGTAGGTCAACATGTTACCTTACCTAAATACCTAAAAGAGCTCCCTAAACCCAAAGTATTTCCCCGTTTCCATTCTTTCATCTCTTCACCCCTCCTCCCAGTCAAGCCTGTGGCTAAATCCCGTGTTTGGATAATGTGGAGAAGAGATGAAAGTGTGAGCTGGGATGAAAGAGCTTTGTCATAAACTTATATTTACACTGTCAAAACATCGGCCTCTCCAGCAATTATCATTTTAATTTCCTCATGCACACTCCTGCTGCCACGTAACTGAAGCCAGTGAGTCAGTAGGACATTTCCTGCTTTGTTACCCTTTAATCTCATACACTTTGTCTTTCCAAATGGGTCATTTGGCATATGGGCTTTTTTTTTTCATTCGAAAAAATAATAAAAGAAGACTAAATACAAGATTAGATCAAACATCTGACACAATTATTTGTTTTGGAAGATTTTCCTTAATCTCAGATCAGTGAAGATAAGTAAAAAATGCCAAACATTCATCTTACTATTATCGTTACTTCCACCTTCTGCCGCATGTACAGAGCAGTTTCCTATGCGATCAGCAGCTCTAAATAAACTGTTTAGTCTTCGCTCGCTTCCCATTAAATCTGCCTCTTTTCGCACAAACACACTTTGCCAACTCATTATATCCACATTGGTCAGGAAGTACAGAGGGAAAGCTTTGAGAAGAACAGGAAATGATCCAAAAGCTTAAAAATGCCCTTCTGCTTTGTCCATTGAAACAAACCTACCCATAAACGCACACACAATGCTTGTAACTTTGTACAAATATTCTTCTGAAGAGACTAAATTGACATCCGTCACAGCAGACGAAACCCAAACCACAACCTTATTTTACCAATCATTCTTTGGTCCCTGTTATCATTACAGGTTCCAACAAGGTCGGTAATTGTATCAGCAATGTCCTCAAGAGATACTAAAAACAAGAACAGGCACACACCTAGAACAGGGCCCAACAAAGGGCCTGTGAAAACAGGAAGCACTCTGGAAGAAACATTTCCAGGTCAAAACAACAAAACACTCCCGAGATTCTGTCCTTTCCAGAAATGTATTGGAAAAACCCTAATCCAGTTTAAAATCATAATTATCAGAGGTGATGAAACTTTGATCAAAAAGAGGCTGAGCACTTAAAATATCACACTGATAGCAGAAGAAAAAATGTATTTCAAAGTAAAACAAGATGACTTGCATGTTTAACAATGGAAGATTTCAAACCTTTTCTTCAAACAATGTTGCAAAAAGATCCGTATTTCATCAATTACAGTAGCATTGAGGAGTAATAAGGATATCAACAAAAAAGGAGAAACGTTGGTAATGACTTTTGACTTAATGTTCACAATAAAACTTGAGCTTTTCTTGCTTTGCGATGGCAAAATATGTGGTGCAGAGGACTAAAAAGGCATATTCTACTATTGTCTGTGCTTCTCATTACAGTGAACAGGTTAATGAATTCAATATAGTGAACTGTAATGATTCCTGTTTGTTGCCGTTGAAGCTTGAACTTTCTTTAAACCACGCTTAGTATTCATTACCGTGGTTTTCTGCCAGCTCTAACTGCATTCTTTGAGATGGTGGCTACTTAACTAGGAGCAAAACGCGATGCTATTTAACAGCAACGCGGTCGCTTTCCCCACTCTGTTAGCTTGTTAAAATGCTTATAAAGCATCCCTCCTGAAATAAAAACAGAACCGGACCCAAACACGGCTGTCTCACCCTGCACTGAACTGCCTTGCAGGCCAGTAAATTCTTGCGGCTCACCAAATTTAGCCTGCAGGCCTTCCTTTGGCCTGCTCTCCTTTCAGAAGCACAGAACAATGCAGCAAGTCTGAATTGAATTCATTTTATACGAAGAATGAACAATAGGTGTAGGGAACGAAAGGAAAGCTTGAACTGATCAACGGAACACAAAGCAGAAAACAAACTGCACAAAGACAGTCATAGCGATTCTGACCCGCAGCAAACGGAATGGAGACACGTCCAGTACAATATGCCCTTTTCATAAATCAAAAATCAGCCTCCGTGCCAAAGATTACCATATAAGTTCAGCAGAAATGCCGTATAAGAGTATAAAAGTGCCATTTTTCAATCATCTCTCTTGGCCAACTCCGCATTTCCTTCCTCTGCATTTACATCATGTAATTAAATACGCTTTTCCCCTGCCTGCTCGATCAGCTGAAAAGGCCATTTATTCAGAGTTAAATGCTGCACAGGGGAGCCCCATTGAGTCATTTCCTGATGTTTTCAAGACAAACCCACAAAGCACATGAAAACCATGAAGTGGTTACCCAATTTACATTTTGGTCAACTTAGGCTTAATTGAACTTGGACTTGTAAAACTATGGACTGTGTGAGAAAAAAAGAAAAGATCCTTATGATTACGAAAACGTAGAAACCTACAATGTAGTTTACAACCTTTTGTACGCGTGCAAGGACCAGGGAGTCATAGTGAAAATGTAGGAACTAACGTAACTAGTTTATGTAACAATGAAGAATTTGACAAACAGTTGGCGGCTTGGCTCAGGTTAAGGTTCTGGGATGTAACATAATGGTCAGAAATGGTAATAAATACTGCCTCGTCGTGTGAGCTCTGCACATGTGTGGGGGTCGCAGAGATGTCATCGAAATCCAACAAATGTGTCAAGTGACCGTAAAGCACAATGGTGGGGTCAAGGGCTAGAGAGTTCAACCGTGACCCCTGTGCTTGTGATCTCCGCGGAGGGATCTAATAAAAGAAGAGTGCCAGTCGAAACTAAAAGGAATAAAAGATGGAAACAGCCCCGAGAAAATTACAGGAACACAAAATCTTTTTTAAATGTCACGGAGTCTTTGGCTGCATTAAATCTGCCTCTATCTGCCTTCGTTTTTGCCTACTCGTGATAGAATGCCTATTTTTTTTTAAATGAAACTCCAAATATAGCCCAAATCTGATATTTTTTTACCAGTGTTGGACCACTATGAATGATCCCAATTCGATGCATAACCGACATTCTTTAAAGCAGCCTCAGTCTTAATGGTAAAGTCGCTTTTGTCAAACCTTTTTAGCATCGGGGTGATAATAAATGTCACTATACTGCGCTGGGGGGTCTCTTGCCGACCAAGTCCTAAAACTCCAACTGCTACCAGACCCTACATGCTAAGAGCAACTGGGATGAGTGTACACCAGTGGATAAGGATCACAAGTTTTTCTTTCTCCCCCTAAATACCTGCAGCTGTTTTTCCATCACATTCTATCACATATTTGATGACTGTCATGATATAAGTAAGTCACCTAGAGTGGTTTGAGGCATTCGAGGTTACGTAAAACCAACAGCAATCTACTCGGTAATGATAAAAATTGGACAATCTTTATTACACTCCGACCTTTATAATAGAGAAAAGCATCATAGAGTGGATGTATCATTCAAAATGTAACCAGCTGTGTACAGGAAATGACTCCGGTGTCTCCATTTACTCTGGTAATAATACCTGATGGTTGCTTAGTAACTCTATCCATATGGAGGTCTACTGTGATTTTTCCTGCTTTAATGGGAGTCTTAATACAGAATGATTCTGTCCCTGTGCTGCTGTTAGCTGTGAGATGTGCATGTGAACCCTGCCGGTCGAGAACAAAACTGAGATTTAAAAGCCAGCGGAAATAAAAAATGAGTTGTGGAATGCATAATCTGCTGCAGGATGGACCCGAGTCAACAAGCTGCTGTAAAGTTTAGTTGGAACTATGAGTAATCAGCAAAGGAGGCCCATTTGAACGCCCAAAAAAATGTAAGTGGTTCATATCAGAGTTGGAAGTTGGCTGGGTTTGTTAAGGGGATAATTACAGAGTCCTCTTTGCTGATGTCAATCATCTTTTACATCATGATTCCCTTTCTTTATTGTAACAATGTATTCAAAAAAGAAAGAAATAGAATGACAGAAAAATAGTTGTTTTTTAGGTGACTTCTGTCTAATGTGTTTGAGCTTAACACAAATATGTTTTCACCACATCTCAATTGAACACCCAACACACCACGGCATGCTTTACACATTCCGAATAAAGACCTAATAAGTAAAAACCTGCATTCATTCCCACGCCATTCTCCTTCCAACAGTCCCTTTGTGTCACTAAATAAAGGTGGTAACGAGCTCTGGCTTTTGACTAAGGGGCCGTTTCCACCGTTAAAACTACACAAGAAGAGCCAAGTGTGCAAAAGTGGGCGTTTCGTCATCCCCGAACGAGCTGTTTTTGTGCGTCGTCCGGTAGGAGGGTCCTGCGACTCCTTCCAGAGGGTTCCACGTTCCTGCAATCACAAAGGCCAACGCTGGCAGAGGCGTTGGCAAAAGGCCCGCGTAACACTGATCCCGAGATTGGCCATTAATGTCGGCGGCTTGTCAGTCAAACTGCGTTTCGTTTTCTTTCTTCTTTTTCTTTTTTTTGCCTCGTGGGCCGTATTAAAAAAGTGCCGCTGCCAAAGAAAACAAGGCAAAAGCTCTTTGTGGGCGCTGAAATGGAAACAGAGACGCAAACGCGTGTAGGGCGACTTAGGGCGGGCTTCAGACGGCCTCGTTCTTCCAGTGGTCTGACTAAATCTGCCCTTCCTCCTGTAGCCCGAACGCTCACAAAACACCCCCGGATAAGCTTTTCCGAAAGGATTCCTTCCATCGTTAATCCGGGCCGAGGGATTTTAGTTAATTGAAAAGGAATGAGGTGTTTTTTTTTTTAAGGTCTGCGTTCTGATGCGCGACTTGTGTGTGATCAAATGAGTCATTTACTGACCCGGCTGTGAGTGTTTATGTGTTTTAGCGCATGTGCGTGGTGTCTGCTCCCACACGGACCGGGGAAAGCCCCTTAAAGAGTCAGACATGCAGCGCATACCAGACACTGACACGCACATGGAGGATTAGCGGGGGCCAGATTCTGATCGCGACCGCGCTCCCTCTCGAGAGACCCGTCTGTCGGGGTGTCCGTCCCGTCTGGGATCCGTGGGGGCGACCCCGGAGCGGGAGCAGGAAAATCCCTCCCGGAGCTTCCGAGAGCTGGACGCCTGGCCGCGTTTCGGGGGGCCAGAACAAGACGCGGCCCCCCCCTGCCAAACAGCTGTCTGGAGCTGTCCGAGGAGACAAAGTAATAGTTGCAACACCCGTGAAATCCTCCACGCTTGTTATAGATCTTCATCAAGTTGGGATTAGGGAAAGTATCAATGTCGGTGTGACAGGAAAACCGAGTAATTCTTTTTGTTGTTTTTGTTTTAAACGCACGGAAAAAGTGATGGAGTGCTCTCTGTATGAAAAGAGAGGCCTTGGCTCTGCGAGCTGCATTTCAACCAACATCCACTGAGGGGCAACAACACTAGGTACAAAGGGCCTCACGGCCTGTGGACGCTATGAAAACATCCGCACGACTGAGTCAAGAGCTGAAAAAAATGCAGAGGGCTGGAGCTTCTGCTTTCAGAGAGATGTGGACGCTTATTGTTTGTTTTTCAGTGTTCTGAGCTTATTCGGGTTACAGTTGGAGAGTAAATATGGGCTTTAAAAGCCAATTTATTATATTTGACTTCGAGGAAGACCGTGAGGATTTCGGCTCATGAGAAAGCTGACTCATGAAAATAAGCTCAGACACAATGTTTATTTCTGCCGTTTGCAGATAGTGACAGCTGTCTTCTGGCGTTTTGTTTTTGGTTGTCTTTGCATCTGGTCTTCAACATGTTAAAATAAAGCTCTATAATCTGACAGCACAGAACGGATTTAACCTCGTGAGAATATTTCCCTCTCTTGCCTTTCTTTTTTTACTCCCCACTCCCGTTGCGGTGTGCTTTGGTTCACTGTCCGTCTGTGCTCTGATGCAATGTCCAGTTAATGTCTGCCTCCGTCCAAAAACCTTCTTTTTCAAATTCAAAAGAATGGCAATTAATCTTTACTCTGAATTGGCAGAGTTTCAGGTTGTTCTAGCTCTTTGAACACATGCGAACGCACGCCTCCGTCAGCTCGTCTCATTACTGAATAGAAGTGAGGAGTTTAAATGTGGAAATGTTGTTAAGGCCGACCTCAGATGGGCTATGGAGTTTTTAACCCGCAACCCTGTAATTAAATGTTAAGATGCCAACAGGGTGGAAATGTTCCTGCTGTTAGCTCTGCTTCAGGAGCCAAAATGCGAACGGTGGAATAACATGTGCAGAGAGGGGGAAACACAGCTTCTCTTCTTGTCCTACCTAATATGTCACAGAACAGCTGTCTAATCTAATTGAGGCTCCTAATGACCGTGAAAAGCGAATTACATGGCGTTTCCAGTTAAAACAAATAACCGACTTTTTCATTTCAAATTGGGATCTAAATATTGCCCAACATAATCATGATTAAAACATTTTTCTATTATCACGAGCTGCAGAGACGCAGGTTTATATTCAAACCATTACCGTCGATCAAATTTGGCATCAAGCATCCAAATGAAGCCCATTCTGGCCTTTAGTGCTCTGTTGGTTCATTGCTGTAGTTTCACAGACAAAAAGGAAGTAACTGTGCAAAAGCTTTGTAGTAACCTTTGAAAAAATAGAACAGCTATCTGCATGGAACCTTGAAATGTAGTTTAGCCCGTTAGCTACGGAGGCTAAAAAGGGAAACTGGGAAATGAACGCTACAAACAAGGTATGCTACTAATGTCTTTTCGACATTAGTAAACAAAACATTCACCTCCATCATCCCTCTTTTGAAACAATCAACATGTTGGCGGCGACGCCGCTGTGCGTCTAGGGTAAGAGGTTTTAAAAGGCTTTCTTGATGGTCGAAGATTATCAACCACCTCTCAAATTCAGAAACAACTGTAAAGCAGAGCAACGGGGCTTCTGGCTGAAATATCCGTCCGTTGCAGCGAGGAATTATGGGAGGGATTGCTAACAGTTAGCTGGGTCGTGGCAGCGTTAAGCGGAACATTTAAATAGTAGCTACATGTAGCAGTAGCAGCCCAAAAGCCACAATTTTTATCGTCTCAGAATTAAAGTGGGTTTCACCGTATCTTTACTTTTGTAACTGTGTTACATTCTTTAGAGAGTAACATATTGTTGGTTCTGTGTCCCCATATGGGCCCCAAAACAACACCGAACTGTGCACAACAATAAAAACCCATCGAACAGGGTTGTGAAATTAACAAAGCCCCTTCTGGGTTTCCTTTGCAGTGGACATACACCCCACTGTTAATGTCTTTCAAAATATGTCTTCTGCCAATGGTCAGGTGGGGGAAAGTGCAAAATATTATTACCAATCATTTTGGACTGCCAGTTACCAATTTCTGACACTACGATGGGAAAAGTCGGCTTCCTGTGAAACATTTAGCTGAAAAGATTTCTTCTGAGTAAGTTTCCATTTCTGTCATTCATCTGTCAGAACAGGAAGAGAACACCTTCCTTTTCCTTCCTAGTGCTGTGAGCCAAAATCAATGCAACCCAAATGTCATGAAGAAGAAGAGCAAAGCATCTTCTGTCGATGGCACATCAGTTTTGGCCACAAAAGACTCCCTTTTACACAGTTTATCAGGATTAATTCCTTTCAATGAACAAATTAAATTAATATTTGTATGTGTAGGTATGTAGATCCAACTCAAATTGTTGAAAGAATGTGTGTTTACCTCCTCACTGTGAGCTTAAGTATCCTGTACGATCCCTTTATGAGTATGAGCGCTTCCTGCCTGCTGCCGTAAAGGGCGGATCCATTTATGTTGATGAGCTCATCGCCAACTTTCAGCTTCTTGCAATGGGCCGCCTTCCCTCCATCCTCGATCTAAAGACAAAGAGGAGAATTAGTTGAGGCCAAAGAGAGAAAATTGGAAGTCGAACAGAGGGACATTCAGATAAAGAAACTACAACAAAAAAAAAGAAAGTCGATGTTAAAGCAGTAGGGGAAAAAAGTCAGGGAAGGATACTTCTGAGCTGCCAAGACGACGACGCCTTTAAAAACCCATTTTTGGAGACATTTTTGCGAGATTGTCTCTGTCCTCATGGCAACTGTGCCCTGGAGCATCTGCTAAAACAGCCTGCACCAAACATCCAGCAGCAGCTATCGAATTCCTGAGTGTGCGCAAGTGTGTGTTTGGCACAACGGTTCCTTCGGGTCACGCCGTGGTCAAAGTCTGTACAGTTCATAAACCGCTGGGCTGTTCCGGGGGGGCTTGAGAGAGCCACGGAGCTGCGGTGCCGTTTGGAACTGGGTTTGAAATGAGCCGCGAATCCCTCTCACAGGGAGGATCGGCTAATTGAAACGACCCTCCGCACTTAGCATGTTAGCATGCCGATGCTTCTGGATCAAAATAAATGAAACGGAGACAGCCAGCTACTTACACAAAGGGTATATTTTCTATCCTTTGCTTTTAAGGTGTTGTGACACTTTTCAAGTCTTTTTGTTTCTTTAAACGTGTTGTTTTCTTTATATCAATTACCAGATGAAATCAGTAACTCACAATGCAAGCCCCCTAATGGTCTATTATTGAATATCTATAAAAGGTTTCTTAAGAGGGAGGGGAATTAAAATGTTAAGAATTAATTCCAAATGGCCTAAAGCTTTTTTTAAATTATTTTACATATTTATGAACTTGAAAGTTCTGATAACATCGAGCAACAATGGCCCATGATGCCTCATTTCCAACACGGCTGCTCTGTTGATAAAAAGTCTAAACTGATGTCGGGATAAACTTTAAATGAACATTTCTGTCTGCTTTTTTTTTTTGTTTGTCTTTTCTTTTGGCCCATTAAACAGTCATTTCCCCCAAAAAAATCTACTGTTTGTATGAACAAAATACAAGGAACCCGCTCAATTTGGGACACCATCAATTTGCAGCATGATGCCATTCTCAGGTGGGAGCTCTTAACTTTTGAGGCAAAATGGAACAAGCATGTATTCCAATTCAGATGCAGGGTTGCCCGAAAACTCAATCAAACCTCGTTTTCAGAATTGCTGGTTTTGGCTGATTGAAGGAAATATACCCAGTGCCCAAGAATAGTCTAATTAAAGTACAAAGGGTACAGTATGGGAATGAGTAAATGATACCAGATGAATTATGCAGGCCTAAATATCCATTATAATTCAATTAAACAGAAAATTCCAGGACTTTCCAATAGCGATTACTGGCGTTGTCAGACATTTCTTTAACATATCAAACAGTGCTGAATTCCTTTTTTTTTAAAGCCTCTATAAAGGGCTGAGGAAAGCATGTGGGGATGGGGGGCTTAAAGGCAACAAATTCCTGCTTACACAGCGTGGAATGGAGCAGGAACATGGCCCTGCCTCCGTCATTCACTCATTTATTTTCTTGCCTCTACTGTGGCTAAATTCAAAGGACTCCGTGTCATGGAAACACAGGTCCGATTTCACGCTTTTAGGATTTTACAGACGCGCAGCGGGGAACGGTTCCTCGCCAGCCAACGCAAACATAAATCCAGATCTTTCGCATGTTAACTCGAGAGGGGTGCTCTCGTGAGGCTGATGCCGCCGTGAATTCTGAAAAAGAAAGGGCTTACGTTTCTGAATTTGATCCAGCTGTAATGCCGCCTTTACGACACAGAACGGGTCAGCCGCATGTGCTGAGGCCAACTTTGATCTAACTACAGCTGTTGAGCATTTTGGTCCTATATTGAAAGCTAAACTCTTCTCTTAACCGGTTTCAATTTTTAAAATGTGGACTGGTATCAAGGTCAAGTGGCACCAAAACTTTATATAACCCCCGAAACGAGTATAGGCTTCCTGTAAGGGACGAAGGCAGGAGGATCCAACAGAAAAGAAGTGGCTAATGGAAGTATGAAGCGATTGGTAGTAACAGTACATGTTACATGTACTGCGTTATATTTGCCTGAATACCTACTGTTGTAAGTACAACAGTAGTTTTATGAAACATACTTTTAAGTATATTTATGAAGAAGAAACACTTCTTTTACCCCAATTAATTGCAGATTGTGCTGGTTTTCTACTTTTATTTCAATCCAACTGTTACCAATGGCAACAGTAGTCCTTAAAATGTCAATACTAACATACAAGCAGCCCTAGAATCTAAAAAAAGAGGCTTTTTTCATGCAAGTCCATATTTGTATATCAATACACCACATTGTTTTCTTAGCCTGGTGACGACATCAGTGGGAGTTATGGTTGTGTCAAACACAAGCGGCTACTGTGTGTGTTGTGGATAATCGCTGAGAAGATAAATAAGTGAAAACCATGAACACCCAATAGTGACAATGGTGAAAGGACTTGTGCTTATATATCCATTACATTTACCAAGTGAATCCATGCAGACCCAAAAATGTTATAGATAAGTTCAACAAGCATAATTTTTGTTTTTGTTTGGTCCAAAAAAAACTTTGGATGTGACCCTTTTATGTAGAATCCAAAATCGCCGTGCTGTTTTGGTCCTTTGAGAAAACAAAATTACAAATTGGTGAAGAGCAAAAGCAAAAATATCCCATTTCCTCCTCGTAGGTTCGCACCGACCCACATTTTAAAAACCCTCAATGGGAAACAGTAGGTACTCAGCCCCTTTAAATCTCTGATCCAAGGTCCTAAAATTTCTACCACGTCCTCCATTTTGGTATTATTTGAGCACGTTACATTCCTCCCCTGATGATTATATCGATACAACAGAAGCATTTCACTTTCCAAAGCTGTATTTTACTCCATTTACTTTTTACTTGAACTTTAGTAACATTACCATATAGTAACAATAGTCCTATACACCTCTGAACCAGAGACTGCATTGTTTTTACAAAGCCCCGCATACACACTCATGCAAAGAAAGACCACCAGGATGAACGCAAGTGATGCTGTGTTTATGTTCAATTGCTTCCAACGAGGTCTTCAGAGTGAAAACAAACCGGAGGCTTGACGAGGGTTTCAGTGTTGGAAAGTTTAACACGGCTTATGTGGAGAAACACTGTGCTGAGTCGCACACGAAGTTCCCAAAACATAACTACAATAATATGACTTTTGATAATCCACCGATGGAAAAAAAAGAAAAGAAAAGTAAGACCAAAGAAATAAACACTGCTGGTGAGAGATTATAATGGACAAACTTGCTACTCAGATCTTGGAATAGCTAAGACTGTCAGTGTCCCACTAAGCTAGCAAAATAATCAGTCATTTTCTCACGAATGCACAAAAACAAAAGGAAGGGAGGACGACGAGAAGAAAAAGGAGAAAGCGATCACAGCTTTTGACTTTGTTAGAAATCAAGAGTGAGGACACACTGAGGATCGGTGACAGAAATCCTTAAAGGAGGCGAGGAAGGCCATGGAAAACAGTGGTTAAGGATCAAATCAAAAGAAAGGGATAAAACAGCTGGGGACAAAAGGAAAGTGACAAGGATTTAAAAATAGGATTAAGGGAAGGAAGGGGAGGAGAAGAGTGAGGATGAGAAATAGGAAGCTGAGGAGAACAAGCTTGTTGTTTATCTCTCTCGATCACACACACACATACACACACCTGTGGATTTGATACGCTCAGCTCCGGCTGGCAGATGTGAGGATAATAATAGAGTTTACTATGAGCTGCTACAGGAGATGTGCGTATTTGTGCGGCAGATGAAGTCATTCAGCAAAGCTCATTGGAAGCTGTTAGTCGTCGTCTTGACATCATACCTCCGCAGACGGACCAAACGGAGGGCCAAGTTTCCACATGGGATAAGCAACATTTAAAGGTTCTGGTTGCTCAATTAGCTGTAGTGGAGGGGATCTTAAAAGCACGGCCATCTGACTTTTGCCCCAATTCAAATTTTGCCGTTTAAATTCATGCTCGGGGGTTGACATTTCAAACTTTACATGAATGGAAATTCTTTTCTCATTCCTTAATGGCATCACAGGCTCGGGGTGCAACGGGCATAAATGGACCCTGAATCACGGAGTACCGGAGAAGCTTAATGGGGTCACACAAAAAGAAGGTTCCAGCTGTAATGTGCTGGCATCAACCGTTTCCCCACAAATCCAACCGCATGTTAGCAGAGAGTCTGCCACTAATGGCCTCATAATGAAAATGTGATCGTCTACATTTCAGTAGTTAACCAATACACTTTTTTTCCCCTTTTTAAAAAAAAAAATCGGTATTCAAATCATCCACTGGATGGCACCTCATGTGAAAATGAAACAAACATTCCAAATCTATTGATGATTTCAGGATTCCCTGGGATCAATATCTGGCAAACTTATCTCCCACAATGCTACAGAAGGGGGAGATAATCTTTGAGTGAAAGCCTTTTGAACACACTCAGTAACATCTGCTCTCATTCGCATGTCAGAGTTATTAATATTCGGCAAAAAAACAAAAAGGAAAATAGCAAAATAGCCTGTCTGTGCACATGATGGACAAAAATGACTCCCCGGCCCGTATGTCAGCGATAATTACCTGTCAGCACGGCTCCATGTCATCTCAAACTGCTGGCGAAGGGGTTTTTCTTCTGTGTCCGAACATAATAAGCCGTGTATTGTGTCGTTTTGTGGGTCAGTCTTTCCCCAGTCTGACCTATACCCCTGTACAGTGTGTGTGTGTGTGTGTGTGTGTGTGTGTGTGTGTGTGTGTGTGTGTGGGGGAATGCGAGCCATGCTACTCAGGGATGTCCAGACAGGGTGAGGTCACTACTGGGGAGACGGAGAAGAATGCCCTCTCTGTGTTCTGAAGCACACATAGATCAGACACACCCTTTTAAATTTAGATTTGAGGGGTGACTTCATAGCTTAGTGTGCCCGTGTGTGCGTGTGTGTGTGTGTGTATAGAGCCCTAACAGGGAGGGAAAAAATGGAATCCCCATGCTGGTCACAGGTTGGCATGTTGTCATCAGCCAACTATCACCTGACACACACACACAAACACACACACACACACACACAGCAAACTGAATGGAACAATGGTCTTTTTTATCAAAGGTTGAAACGATGAGCCTCACTCTGAAGATCATTTACATCAGTGGTGTGTGTTTCTTTAACAAGGCAAATATTTGCATGCAATGTGATGCTATGACCCCCCCGTGTCAGGCTTTTCTGTGTTTATTTCCATCTTATCTGCAGTGTTAATCTTAAATGTGAGGCAGAACCCAAAAAAAGGAAGATAGGAGGGATAACACTTTAGTCATGCTGTAGGGACTCATTCCATTCCAAACCACCCCGAAAACCGTTCCGACATTTACTTGTTTCATCCTAAAAGTGGAAGTTTTCTGAAACGTCTGAAACTGAAAAGTATCAAATATTTGCTTGTATTACTGCTCGGAACTTTAAAACTTATTGTGTAAATGGGATTTCGGGTAACTAGATATATTTATATGTGTTTATTAGCCAATGTCCTGTAGGTTTGAGAGGTTTCCCCTTCATTTAAACACCTGACATAGATTTAATAGATGTCTATAAAGACTGCTAATTCTGCCAATCGTCTGGTTTGAAGTTTGATTGAAGTTTTTTCAATCGGGGAAACATCTAAACTCTGCAGAACAGTGACCCTCCGGCAACAGATTCTGAGATCCCCGATATTTACTGTCCAGAGCATTCTGGTTTTGTTGGGGAATTCACATCCTCAAAAATTAAGATCACAATGAACATGCTTTGATGAACGTGGCCATAGGGGTGTATAACCTTATTTTTAGTACACCCTAAGTTGTCAAGCTGTGCCTGGCCTAAGGGACCCAAATATAATAATATATAAGAAAATGCTAAACTCCTACTAATCTCGTATTTTTTTGTTTTTTAGAGAGCTTCTGCTTTATGTTCTGTAGATTTTGGGGCAGCTTCTCGCCTGTCCGATCAGGTGTGGCCCCTTAGGGAAATCACCAGTAACAAAGGATAATATGCGAGCAGTTAATGACCTTTTTCCTCTAGTACCAACTCAATGGGAGGCAACTTTACTTGACTCAATGCAGTTTAGAGTGTTTTTCCCTTACAATTCAATCTGCGTGGAGTCACTTCAGCAAGGAGACCCAACGGTTCCATGCCGTCATTTGTCTGCGTTTGTATCCATTAAGCGCAACATGCCTTAACCGTTACAAGTTTAGCACCTACTCGGTGACAGTTCCACGAGAGCCGACACACACCAATATCCAACTGCAAGCCGCCCATTGGCCAGGAAGTCCATGGCTGGGTGAGTCATCACCCTTCAGGGGAACCTCGCATATTTAAAAAACGCAGCTAACTTCAGTATTTCTGTGATCATCAACGTTGTAAACGTCTACACCTGAACCAACACTGTGGATCAGCACCTCTGCTATTGCCAAGATGTCATTCATTGTCGTCTTGTGCTTGTGTTGCGTACAATGTTGCTTCGACTTGAAAGGAGTCAGTTGAAGTGGTTTGGGAAACTGGTAGGGATGCCAACCTATTAGGGGTTTACAGGCACGTCCTGCTGGGAGAAGACCACTGGGTAGACCCCGGACAAGTTGGAGAAATGATACATTCCATTTGTGACCCATCCTCAGAGGACGAAAATGGATGGACATCCACTTTAAACAACAGCTGTCAACCCTGATGTTTTGCGATGCAGAATCAAATGTGAGTGTGTATAAGTCTACCAGTGTTTTCTACATTATTGGAACACAGTTGGTTTACACTCTCACACTCAGGACTTGACTTTTTTGTGGGGAACAGAAAGCTTATCCTCGGACACAAGTCTTTACGATGCCGATTAGGTTTAAGGTTTCAGTAATGCTTTGGGGTGGGAAAGTAGTGGTTCCCCTTCACTGAATGCCTGCATGAGGCCTCTGAAGTGATGGAAATATGGTTCTACGTTGGTCTACCACTGCAAGGCGGAGCCTTCACGTGTACTCGAAACCTCACATTACAGAGAAAACGAGCAGTTTGGCAGTTTACACAGCTTTGAAAGAGTGTGTGTGTATGCAAACACCGCAAAGCACAGGACACACACACACACACACTGGTGGCATGAGGATGCTGAACATGCTCACACTGGCAACATGTTGGGTAAAGCTTGAAGCGTGGGGGAGAAAAAAAGTCCCGATCTATTCGAAATGCAAACATAAATGCTCAACTGTTGGCAACAAATTAAAAGGAGGGGACAATTCTTCAGTTGCTTACATGAAGACCTCGAGACAGTCAAGGGTTTGCAGAGGACTCAAAGAGGGATTCGTGCTCAGAAATCAGGAGCCTGTGTGAGCTGTGTTTGAATGAAATTATTTAAAGGGAGGATTTAATTGACAGTTGAGCTGTGCTGCAGAGAAACACACAAGGGGCAATTGTGTTTGCGTTTAAATTTAGTTCCAACTAGCTAATACCATCTTTAAGGGGATCTACTAAGTGTAAACTTTACCATGACCTGTTTTATTGCCTCATAAATCATTTTGTGAGCTTATATGTCACCCTGTGGATTTCTCCACTATATCAGAATGCTAGAGTAAATATCCATTCCATAAGAAGTTTGTCCATTCTAAGGAGTGCAGAAGTCCTTTAAAAAAAAAATTTAAGTAATAGTTTAATGATAATTTCTGTGAATGTTCTCAGTCATCCAGGTCATGGTCAAGCTTGGAAAGTTCAGTTAGGCTACTGGACGTGAAGTTTTCTGGCCTCTCATCCAAGAGATTAATATACTGTAGGTGTAACAAAAGAATTGAGGGAAAAAAAACCAAGGTGGCTCTGATCCCTCCAACTGGATAGGCCATGAGGTCACCTGGGGGAGTGTTAATGGTCGTTAGGGGGTTCTGATGGGTCGTTAACTCCCTCGTCAGAGTGGTTTCGGTCACATGCCTCTTTGAGGGGGAGTCAGGTGAGGGCAGGTGGGAGGTGAATCTTCTGGGAATTGTTCCTAAAAGCGCTCTGTAAGTAGGTTACCACCTGACCGCTGACCACATCTGTTCTCTTTTGGACTTGTGCCTCACCACCACCTACTTCCGAAACATCTTCTAGAAAACTAAACGACCAGTTGCCTAACTGAACTTTCCAAGTTTAAGGATCATTCTGAATGAGTTTACATTTCTAAAAAGATACACACTGAACGCTCTTTAAAGAGGTTGCAACAATTCAATGACAAGCTGCTATACAAAGACTGCACTCCTTATTCAGTTGATATAATCAATAATATATCTTCTACCCATCCAAAGCTCAAACTCTGTATAAACTGCATTATGTGTCTAAACTTTAAAGCCACATTGGGAATAAACCCCAGTTGCTAAAAGACTAGATAAGAATGTTTAAATTATGGGGCAATGTATTCCTTTTCAGTATTTCTTCCTAGTGTAGATCTCCACTATATTTCTATGTTCAAAGGACTAATAATGCCAGGAATGTTTGTTGTTTGTTTAGCTTTTATTTCCGCTTCAAAAAGTAAGCAAAACGTTAAAGGAAAATATTACATGATTAATAATGAGCAGGATCATTTTTAAAATATCAGAGAGATGTCAATCATTTACACTGTTTGACATTCATGGTGTTAGCAATAAAAATGTAGCAGTAGTGTCTCCTGAAACTGACCATGAGACGGAAATCCTGGTACGCAGACCTATAGGATGGGGTCTGGCAGCCCATCTCTTGACAGTTATTGTTGATTAGGGCCCTTAATAGAGTCATAAAGCTGACAGGCCACCGCATGCTTCAAGACCCCAAAGAAAGCACAAAGGGGGGGGGGGGGGGGCTCCCGAGGTCTCCTGCTGCACTAGAGCCTCATGCTCTCACTATTGTTTGCACTGCCACTACTGAGCTGCCAAACATAATGCCTGAGTCTCCACGCAGGAATACATTTGGAAACAGCGGTTTTGCAACATGGAAACATAACTGGGGCTGGAAGCTGCGCTGCCAGTTCTTTTTCTAGCCCTGAAAGCAGCTCCCACGTTTCCTGTTTTGACAGAGCTTGAATTCACCTTCCATTTCCACTGGTAGCCGTGGCGCTGGTGACCACAAGCGTGAGTCACCCCGACGTTTGGCCTCCGAGGGGCCGTGAAACAAGTGAAACAGTCAACTTGTGACGAAAGCCTTATAGAGGTTTGGAGTGGTTCCTATCAGCCCCCCGAGAACACCTGGAAGCTGATCTTAGGCCCCTCGTGATTGCAATAATGTGCTGCAAAAATAAAACCAGGTTAGCTGGGCAGATAATATTCCACTGAGTAAAGGCAGAGGCTGATGCCCGAAGCACGGTTCTTTTCACTGTTCTTGACAAAGGTGAGCTTTCTGCGTCAAACTAACTTTCAATCTGTCAATATTGACCTACGAATGGGGTAACAACTCAGGTGAAAAGAAGGACACACGTTCTTATGAGTCAAAGTGGAAAAAGTGTTCGTTGATTCTTTGGGAAAATTGCTACATTTACACACCAGTGAAACATTACTTCTGCTTGTATTCTTTTGACTCGTTCAGGAAACCGAGAGTAAGGTAGAGATTTCCTGATTCATCTCCTCGTGCGCAAAAGTAAAAGGCGCCGGTATATCTAGTAGTTCCTCTTTTGAATCTATGGTTTTATGTTGCTAGTGTCCTGCACTTATGTCAAATACGCTCCTTTTTCTCATACTTCAGCACACACAGAGACACACACCCTTCCCCAACCTCTGCCCTCCAGTCTGAGCCTTGTGAGGCTCTCCTCCCTTCCTCACACCCACGCTTGCACAAGGCCTTCTTTATCAGGGCGGGAGGAGGGGAGCTGTCGAGATGGAAAAAGGGAAAGAAAAAAAAAAGCTCCCACGCTCACACCAAAAGCATCGACAGCTACACTGTGTGTGTGTTAGTCTGTATGTATGCTGTCGTCAAGCTCCATTGATCAGTGGTGCTGCAGCTGGGGGGGGGGGGTGTTGTCCTCAAACGGCCTTTCTGTGGAAACTGAAGTGAGTGAACAGGACAATGATGCCCCAGACGGAAGAGCTCCTCCTGGATGAGGGCTCGGCGCTTTGGCCGCGAAGGAGAGGAGGGACCCCGGGTCACCGGCACAGTTGGTTCGAAGTCAATGGCAGAGTGACAGAACAGGACTGGGCAAAAAGAAAGGAAATGGAAGGAAAGGAAAAGGGAAGGGGATTTTGATTCACTCATTACTGTCTGACCCCCCCGAACGTAGACTGGAAACCGCAGAAACATCCTGTGAGCTCAGTCACAAGGATGCATGTGAATCAATGCTCAATTGCTTGTAAAAAATGAGTCTTCTCTGTTTAAGATTTAAACGGTGGGATCTTTTTTTAGGCAGTGGAGCTCTCAGTCTGGCCAGTTTCCCACGTGGGGCTGATCACACGTGTGCTCCTCTTCCAGCACCTGGAGCTTAAAAAAGGAGAAACACTCAGCAAAACCCAAGTCAGATTACCCAAAGTCACCTCTCTCAGTAGTCTAAGAGCTCTGATACACCAATCCAAACCAAACCAACAAAATGTAACTTAGCAAGAGTCTATGACAGATGAAGCAGAAGTCTATATATTATTAAAGCTGTAAACAAAAACAATGCTTGAGTAATGTTGATTCACGACTGTCTGGGTTCAAATGCGTTACAGAAACATATCTGCAATCTGTAATTCTAAAAGAAATGGTGGGATAAAACCACTTCCGTGGTAGAAGCTTAGTTGTCCTACCCAGAAAAAACTTAAACAAACACTGTAGTGCACATCCACAAATTAAAAAACATGTAGACCCTGCGGAATCGCTTTCATCTCTTGGAACATCTAGGATGTTGCATCAAATCCGGGTAGATGTTTGTTGGTCAAGTAAATCTTTAAAAAATTGGGAAAATTGCTTTGGTCACATTTCCATCAAGTGTATTAGTTCTTTTTGTGCATATCGTAGGGGTCAGCCCACGTTTTACCATTTGTGCAATTTCTTTCTTACTCGAACATTCAACATCCCCGTTTATAAGTGCAAGAAGAACCCAGCTACTGACAAACACCACTTGACGCTTTATACAGGGCAGAACTTCAACCCACAAAACAGCTGTAATCTGAACTGTTTTAAGAAAGGACTTATTTCCACATGCGATTTCCTTTAGTAGTAACCGTGTTTAACAGCTGTGATCCAAGGATTTGGGGCAGCAGTTAATTCACAGGACAGAAAAAAACAAAAAACATCCAGCTGTCCAACCATCAGGACCGTTTGTGAGAATGAATCACAAACCCTTTAAGATGTACGGAGCCACGCTGTCCTTACTTTATGTCTGAGACATTCCTCCACTGACACAGGAACGTAAAGCACGCAGTGGCTTCACCTGTTTATTTTCAATCCAGAGTAGTTTTCGAAATTATTCCAAATGCACCCCGCTCGCTCTCTGGTGGGTCTCCCCTCTCGTATATTTTCACTAGCTGCACCCCCAGGACGAGACCAAATATTTCAATTCTAAACTAGAGAGTCTCCCACACTTAATGTTTGAAAAGATGCCAAAAAAAAACAACCCGAAAAAATACAAACACTGTCCCCAATTTGGGCGCCACATTAATGAAAGACTACACAAGGACGGCGACAATGCGCTGCATGGAAAATAAACAGCCAAGACCCAAAAAACATGCTGGCTCCTGCAAGCAGGATATTTAAAGCAACGGCAACCCTATAAGGCATCTACAAGTGATTTCCAGTGTTAATGAAGGTAAATAGAGCATACTGTATTAAACTGTAAAGACTTTAAAGCAATAAAGGGATGAAAAGATTACTAGATGAAATACAACTTCCTTATTCAAAGAAATTTAAAAGAAAACAGACGTCACATGTCCGAATGACAACCGATCTTTTTGAAAATCCCGCAGCTTTACGCCAAAGACGTTCTAACCACCTCAAAACCCAGTAATGCCGTTAAAATTGCGGTTAATCTGTGAAAATAAGACCCCCCCTTATGATCTCTGAGCCGTCGGCCACATCAAAGCCCCACCAGAAACACAAAGCCCGTCATTAAGACCCATCCTTCACGGAGCATACTTGACCTGCCTTCAACTCCCATAATTCACCGCTGCACCTCATACCTTTAACTCCCCCAAAAAATGTAATAAAATAAAAAGAAGAAGCCTGACACTCAAAACAGCAACACTTAAAACCACGCACTTGACTGACAGTCATGCATAACAATGGAAGTATGTGGTTGCATAATAGTGTTGTTGTCACACACACACACACACACACACACACACACACACGTACTGACTCACAGGAGGGCTTGTTTATATGTAAACATAAAGAAATGGAAATTTCATGATGGAAGCGCTCTTGGGGATGACATAGGGATAACTAAAAGAAAGCTCAAATAAAAAACAGCTTCACTTTAGTTGTGGGCCCCAAACGCTTTATGCTGACCGGGCAGGAGTACACACCCTGCAGGACATCGAGTTTTTATATTTCAGAACAGGACCGCGTGCGTCTGATCGAGGAGGGCTCCAAAACTCGGCATTTGGAGGGAGGGGGAAAAAAAACAAAAAAAAGAGAGATAACCGGATCTAATGGCTTCCATGCCAGAGCATCCCAGGCTCAAATCTGAAGAGTTTTCATTTTGATTGTAGAGACAAACTAGAACTTTTTTTGCTCTCCCTGGAAGAAATGTCCACGTCTTTCTGCCAGATGAAAATCACTTCCGGACAAACAGCGGGGGGGGGCCGGCCTGCATCGATTAGGGCAGCGACCCGGCCGGCAAAGACTATTTTGGAGCCGTGTGACTGTCGAATTACACGTGGTCGCTCGCACGCACGCGTTGAAAGCCACAAGCTGTGTGTTTCTGGCGTGGTATGGAAGCCATTAGATCCGGTGATCAGCCCTGACAACAGCGCGGGGTTGAAAGGTCGGCGGCCTGGTGGGAGCGGAGGCCCGGGAGATTGATCCATCAATGTCTCCGGAGCCAAAAGAAAAAGAAAAAAGCCGCATGAATGCGGGCTCTTTCATCCCACGCACCAACGTGCTTCCACGCGGGTGAAACATTAACGATTCGGCCCGCGCTTAATGGCCCTGCTCGCCTTTCCGACATCTGGCTGCGGCCCTGGAGCAGCTTCGGGTCTAAATGGAATCGCGGCGGTGCATATTGTCACTTGTTTACCATCAAAGCGCTCGGCTTTTCACTCCGAGCCCCTTACGTGGGCATGGGTTCAGCTGTTTTTTATGGGGTCATTGCGATCACGCTGGGGAAAGCCGGAGTCAGATTTTGGTGTTAATCGCACTACTGTTGCGGGCTTTTTTTTATCTGGGTGAAGGAAAAGTTCGGCATGTGGCGAATGCCATGCTTCCCTTAACTTTTTAATGCCGAGCCCAACTCAAATTGTGAGAATATATCTATTAACAGGAAATTCCCAGTATCCCCTAAAATGCTCAATTTCCACGCATTCCAGGCTTCTTGCAGGATGACAGCTTTATTTCTGGTTCTATATAATGTCAGCAAAGAAACCGAGTTTAGCACAACCGAGCACAACTTGTCCTTTAAAATAAACAACAACCACTTCGGCAAACGGGCCTCTAGCACCCTTTATGTTTTTAGCAGCTAGTTTCTTGCTCCATAGGCCATGAACACCAAGAACATAATTTCTTTTTCTTGACACAACAGCACACGTGCCAGAGGTGGCAGGATTCTCCATCTCGGGTAAGCTACTGTGCACTAGCTTTGCCTCATTTGGCCGATAACAGTCACAATGTCAAAAATTCCATTGGGATGGTTTTGTGCGTTCCTCAAGAAAACACTCGGGTGGCAAGAAACCAAATAAGATGCCAAGAAATGCCAAAGGATTGCTTTAGGATGCTTTAGGATGGTGAAGGCCGAACCCAGCAGAGTTGAACATCTACCAAAAGTGGAATATATCTGAACCTAGCTGTAGTGTTAAGAGCTTCCTGACCCATTTATCTCTCCATCCACTTATTCTTTATTCATCAGCCTACAGCTGAATTAACTGAGGGACTACCCAAACTGCTTTCTAGCTTCGATCAACTTAGCTTTCCCCCTTTTTCTTCCTTTTTTTGCAAAAGCTTTAGGGATGACACGTTCTGCCTTGCTCTTTCCTCATCATTTCCATTTTTTTTTATCCTCCTTAATCCTGTATTTCCCTCCCTTTCTAGGTTTTTTCCATCTTTCCGACCACTCGCTCTTGCATCTCTTCCCATTACACGCCGACTCCCTCACATTTCTTTCCTTAAAGTTTTCTATGATCCATTGTGTCAAATTACTGAGGCTTTTCTTTCAAATAAAGCTTGGTCTCTAAAGAAATGTTTTTTCAAACACATATGCGCTCAATATTGACCAGAAAGACGTCAAATTCAAAGCAAACATATCTCCTGACACCAACCACCTCCCCCCCATATTTTGGCTTTCCACACTGAGGTTCAGAGGAGAGCCAGAGAAGGAAGAGGGCCACAGGACAAAGCGGGATCTGTGTCAATTTAGACCTTCCTCTGTAGTAGTCCTGACAGGATAGCCATAAAAATCAGACCACACTGCATGTTGGAATGTGTTTGTGCGTGCAGGCAATTCTGGACAGTCTTTGGTCTGGGGCATAACTTTATTGCAATAAACTGTAAAGACATAAACACTGAGGCACAGAAATGGACACAAATCGTGTTTGTGTGAAGTGTACTTCGTCTTACATAACAGCTTGGAAATAGATTCCTATTCTAAGCCACTAATAAGTGCCTGTTCAGGATATGAATTGTGATCAAAAGGTTTAAATAATAAGAAAACAAGCTCAATAACCTGAGATCTTAAAATCTAAAACCTGTATCCAATCACATGTTAATGGTATTACCACCTCGTGATGGTTCAAACGTGGGTTTTTCCTTATTATTTAGTGGTAAACTTAAAAGCCACCATCTTTGTGAGTCACGCTCTGTTACATCGCCCTTTCCTTTACACCCGCTTCGATGTCGGGCCAATCTTTGTCTTTATCTATTGTAAATTAAATAAATCATTCTAGTTTTAGCTTATGCACATCTCTTGATGATGACATTATCCCTTCCATCTATTCCCTTTTATCGTATCCATACAACAACAACAAAAACAGTGACAAAAAAGATGCGTTCTAAAGCTTCTTTGTATAGTCATCTATATATAAATATATATATATCACTATCACTGCGAGATCAGAAGAGGAAAACACCTAAGAAAGTGCTAAAATTGTCCTCAATCATCAAGATGCTTGATCTGAGTTAACATGGTGTGTGTTTGTGTGTCTGTGCGTGTGAATGCGTTGCTCCCCTGTTGAGAGGGCAGAGGGAGGAGTGTTCTGAAAACTCAGAACGTCTGACGAAAACAATAACAACTGCTGCAGCCTCAGGTCAGGACTTCTTCACCCAACACACACACAAACTAACACAGGTATGATCTATGTAACTTTAAGTCCACTTTTCCTATGAGGCGTACACACACAGACTACAGTAATCTTTTCACACTGGTTGGCTTCTTTCCTTACAAACCCACTCACTGCATTTATAAGGGCATGAAAATGAGGGAGGGACGTTTTGTAGGTGAGGATTTTTTGGCCGGTCCCCACATTGAGCTGTCTGACAGTTATAAATGGGCTTTGCTTTCTATTATACAATGAGAGGTCACTATCATCTTTACGTTTGTGTTGTGGTTTGCATATAAAAGTGAGAGCATGGGTGTGTCCCCACAAACTTTGAATGTGTGTGTGTGTGTGAGTGGAAAACCTCCAGACGTAGCCTAAAACAAACAGCTAAAGGCTCCACAGATCAGAGATAGATGCATTCCAATCCCACCCGACACGCACGCACTCTCACACACACACACACACACACTCTCACACACACACACACACACACACACTGGCACGCACATGCTTACAGCTTCCCCAGCAGCCCGTTCCTGCAACATTTTTTGGGGAATTTCATAAGCATTTCATGTGATTCAGTGATTCAGCTTAGATTTTCCTTTTATCTTTCAAGAATTCAAACGTCCCGTTTTAAATGTATCTGTAAACGTCTCGCCTGGCTTGCAATATAACATATCAAGACAGATAAATTCATATACATCTCTTGACACCAAGTTACCACATTACCAGAGGAATTTAATCAGTTTCATCTGGTTTTTAACGACTGCTTGACTTTGAATTGAAATGAATTGAAGAAAAACGCATTTAGATTTTTTAAAATATCTTATAAACTTGAGTTTGTCAAGCTAAAAGCTGAAAGAGTCTAACATATGGCCAAATATTTAGTTTGACTGGTTTATTTAGATGTCTTTAAAGTGAAGATTATTCTCTTGCCTTGGCTAAGTTTTATCAATATTCGGGAAACTTTGTTGAGTTTGTATTGAGACTTCTGAATTTCCCCATTCTACATTTCTTATTCAGAGCTAGCGTAACGGCAATGAAAAGCCTTTAGATTATTTGTGTAGACAAAAAGCTTTCCGCATTTGGCTTTCTCTCTCTGAAACCTAAAAAAAAAAGAAGTGCACGCAAACATTCGAGAAGCAATAAGTGGTTAACTTTTCCCTTATAAATGGCTTAACATGATCAAATTAGGATCCAATTTGACATGAGTGCTCCATTTTCCATCCGGTTACTGATGCAGAACTCAACATAAATTGCTGGAAACATTCTTTCTGTCTCCATCATCAGTATGCTGTATGGTGTGCTATGCTGTTTCACAACATATGTTTTTTGTTAAGGAGGACAGTTAGAAAAGCAAGGCAGCAGTCATGGAAACACACACACACACACAAACACACACACACACACACAGTAAGGACAATAGCATCTCTATCTGAAGAGATCCTCATCTACCCCCTGCTGTGCAGATTGCTACTGCAGGCTACCTTTACAGGAATGCAGGCGGAAAACACACAAACACACACACATACACACACACATACGACTGTTTACCAAACCAAGACAGCTGGCTGCATGCCGTCCACCAAATGTCAAAACATTCTTCTGTGAAACCTCAACGTTTCTGGTGCCGTCGGCGGCCATGCTGGAGAGAAAGAGGTTCTGGGCAAATCCGACTCGTAATGTTTTCAAACCTCTTCAGCCGGACTGCACAAACACAAGACAGGCCGTGCCATTTCTGGCAAGGAATGAAGGAGAGATTTCCCTTTTCAACACAAACAGAAAACTAGTTCTTTCAAACACTAACGGGCAACGGCCTTTGTAGCAACACCAAATGAGTCACCGTTTGAACATCGGCCCCGAAGATGCTGTAAAATCCCACAGCTACTTCATTTTCACAACGAGGATATTTGAAAAGTGTCTCTAGACAGTGATGAACCCAAATAGTGATGGTTTAAAGATGTTGTAAGAATAAGAAATCCATTGTCACAGCAATGAAATCATCACACAAAGCATTAAGAAAAACAGAAGTCCATTTATAGAATCCAACTACCAGCAAAGATATGACCAGAAATTCTGTAAAAAGATCCCCTGACCCAGAGACTCTGAGTTGCTCTGTTAAGTGGAACACTTTTGGTTTTGGCTAATGGGCAGACTGCTGGTGGGCTGACAGAGAGGAGATGGAAGATACTGCTGGACCACGAGGAAAGTACTTAAAAAACATGACAGTCTTCAGCTCCTGAAGAGGAACTTGTTTCTGTATTCTGGACATAAGATATTGTTTGAAAAAGAGTCAAAATTTCCCACTTATTTTACATCCAGAAAACTCCTACAATAAAATCAAGAGTGAACGTATCAGTTCAGGCGGATCACTTGAGAAAGAGGGATTTTTACATAAACAGAAAGGAGGAAATCCAACCGTTAAAATCCATCCCGTCCAATGGATGACTCTGGGCCACACTGCCGTCGGAATGGGGAAATGTCCCCTACCCAAGTCTCACAGTAGATCATAAAAGCGAGCATGAAAATGAGCCGACAGCTCCGTAAGAGCTGCTCTGTCACACAGGACAATGGCAGGAACTCAGCACTTACTAATCATAACCACATCTGACACCAGACACAAATACACTTAAAACCATCACAAAGCACATGTGAACGGACAAGTTGTGTGGCTTTGCATGGCAGACAACTGTAAAACGTGTCTTTACAGCAATAAGACGCACACAAAGCACACTCTATTGGCTTCAAAGATCAAAAAGCTCACATCTAAGGATTTTACATTTGTGTCATTAATTATCCATGTGCTGCATGTACTTGTATTTCAGTCTTTGATGGTTTCAAAACTCAAAAATTTGATTTGAGGTAAACAAGTAAAAGCACTGGGAATTCAGAAGTGCAATGGAATTACTGCCAGGCAACAAAAAAAAAGTTCCATTTCATTTTCATTATTAGGCATTCAGGACATGTGCCCAGGTCTTTATGGGAGTTCATTCAAGAAGGCTTCCAAAAACAAAAGATAAAGTCTCTGCATTCTCTGCATGTTTTAGTAATACTGTGCACTTCCTGCCCTATCAGGCCTATCGAGAGTATTTTAAGCCAATTCAGAAGATGGAATCTCTTTCAGATCGGTTTGTAGACCATTTTACCAAATGACTTTGACTAAAAAGATGTCCCTTTTTCCCTTTTCAGTAAATCACATAAGCCAAACAGAGGGTGCGCGCCAGGTCACTGTCTGTTTGCAGACAACAAGCCAGCTTCTTGAAACAAGCTGAACAACAAGATGACGCCCCCGTTGACCAATGGTACTTCTACTAGTACTATTAGCGTGACTCGGCTCGACTCCACTCATATGTTTTGCATTCCACGGGGTGCTAGCGACTCCTAGCAGTTAGAACTTTAGCACCATCTTGGCTGACTCAACCTGATAACAGACTGCAGGCCACTGCATGGCCACTGACTGGACACGGAGTCCCGTGACTGGATGAATCACGACAGCAAACCCTTCTAAAGAACACCCCCATTTTAAAATCGGCGACAAGCAGGCCATTTCTTTATTTCTCTGACCATCACTGTAGTTAATGGCCACACTGGAACCAACACCAAAGCATGACCAAGAGGTCCGGCCGGTATATCATCGCGATCTTCGGTTGTTCCGTGGTGCTTATGACACACATATATTGACACCAAGGTTATCTTGACCCGTCTTGCTGTTAAAACCTCACTCGTAATGAAAACAGCCTAAACCGAGGTAAGGGCGCGTACAGGCCAGTAGAGCCGAGTAGACACTAATGACAAAGGGCCATAAAGATGCAAGAAGCAAGGTCCCAGATGCCGGCTTGTTTCACTTCTGGTGTTACTTCCCTTCCCACCAATCCCAGTTTAAGAGGTACGAATACAACTCCCTCAATGAAATTCTCATAAGCCACATGCTAGGAATTGTTAAGGTGATATAACGACTTGTAAGCTAATGAATGATGATGTGTGATAACAACGTACAACACTGCTTTGCATTACCCAAAATAAATACCACCAACAGACTATAGCCCGCTTGTGCCTTAGAAAATCAAGTCTTCTTGCTGGCAGTTGGATATAGTCTTTAACAGTTTGTTAAAGGGCACATGACCATGCTTAAAGCTTAGAAAACTTTAAATAAAATGACATATTGTGCAAGTATTGCCCTCTATACCTCTATAATCTGGAAACCTTCATGGGCAAAAGTGGGACACACTCTACAGAGTAACTTTCCATAAACTCACTCATGTATTAGGTGATCACAAATACAAAATGCCGGTGGTCGTGTCGAGTAAAGTGAACGGAAATAGCACACTTAGCAAGGCACTTAGTAAGGAAACTCACACAAACACTGACTTCTACTTGTGGAAAATTGCATCTGTTTACCAGTGGCTGGGCATACAAATCTAGCTTCCACTGGGAGCAATTCAGAATATTTCAGCACCAATTAGTAATGTCAGATACAATAATAATAATAAAAAAAACAAGTTGTGTTAGTCAAAACATCCAGAATTTCCACCAGCTTTCTGGATGTTACCAGTCTGTCAAAATTCCCACATATAACCCGTAGTAAATGCATTAGGGGGCAGTGTTTCCATAACTGGACTAAGTCTGGAGTAACAACTTGTTTTCCAATTATCATCAAATGTCTTCATTTTATGTTCCCTTAATCCAATACCATTTATCCAAAAGCCTTTTCTCTTTGTATCCTAAATCCATCGTTTTAAGATTTATTTTGATTCACTTCTTCTCCCAAAAAGAGTGCTGAAGGGTCAATAGATTGTAAATGTTTAAAAGGACTAAAGAGCTTAGCTGGTGAATCACTGACTAACTAGCTGAACAGTTAAAACCTTGAACTCACCTTTTTTTGGGGTTTTACAGCTGATCCCCCACTGCTAGGAGCAAGTGCTCCATTCTAGGAATTGTGTGCAAAAATCTTCATACCCCATGAGCGCACCCACACACCCAGACACACACACACACACACACACTCCACAGTAGTAATTAGTTATGCTCTTGGTGGAATGTTGACCAAATGGCTTATATCCCTCTGCTGTCTGTGGCTACTACAGCTGCCCCTCCCCCTCCAACAGGGGTGCACACTCTCAAAGGGCTGCACACACCCTCACCCAAGTCTTCAAAACACGGCCATCCTGAAAGCAAAGGGGCAACTGGCACTCTTAGTCTCCCTCATGTGCACAACAGCCAGGGAAATGCACACAAACTTACACTTTGCAGACGCACACTGTTTTGCACCACATATACACATGTACTATTCTTTTTTTTTCTTCAGTGAGAGGCTTTTCATGGATGCATTTTCTGGTTGAATAAAATAAAAAATGGATGTTCTTTGCGCTCCAGGTCTATGAGATTACCTGGTCAGAGACTGAGAATGGCAGATGTGTGACAAAAGTTGGGAGCAGTCGTTAGGGCAATGAAAACAAGCGCAAAGGAAAAAAAAAAGACTATTCCACGTGTATTTGTGTGTTCAAGCAGATATACCTGAGTTTAAGTATCTCGGGGTCTTGTTCGTGAGCAGGGACATAAAGGAGAAGAAGACTGACAAACAACTGAGGCGGTGTCTGCTTCACTTTTCGACTTAGTTGGCAATTTACTGGTAGATCCGCGTTCCAAACCTTACCTCTGGCCATCGGCTGAGGATTCACGAATGGATGAAATCGTAAACACAAGCTAAGAAAATGAGCCTCCTCTGAGGGGTGAGTTGAGGAGATTGTAAAGTAGCCTGCTGAGGTGGTTCTGGTCTGGATGTGTTTTGAACACCTCCCTGGGGAGGTTTTTTTCTTCTTTTTTTTTTCATGTTTTATGCCGAAGAGGCCGGGAGAGATTTTATCTTTCAGTTATATTGGGAACAAGTGGGCAAGATCTCTCCAGATGGATGGATGCAAGGGAGGAAGGCTGACAGTTACATCACAAGTGTGTCATTTTGTTTTGCTTTTCAGCTAATTCATGTTTTGGGGGATGAGAGAGGGGCTATTTCTAATTTGATCCTTCGAAACCCAGATTTGTTTCACATTTTCAATTCACAGCGAGCCACATCAGTGGGTGCCCCCAGCACAATAATGTTAACCGTAAAACTCCCAAAACTCTTCCACATACCTCCCATGCACACTCTCTTTGTCTACATCCTCAATCGTTAAGAAAACAAAACACCCAAGATGCTTCTGTGCTCCTACTTTATCCTGTCCGGCAGAGAGACTGGACACAAAACAGCTACAGAGCACAGTTTGATTTTTATCTCCCTCAGCCGTGCCGGTCACATTTTCCCAGGGGCTGAGTCCCTATGTGTGTGCGTTTCCAGATGGCTGAGCCAAGCTATTCCACTCCCCGGGATGGTGCATCTAGAATCCCACCGACTTTTACGCCACGGCAGCGGCTTCCCAACAGAGCGGGGCGGGAGGAGAACGGAAAAGCAGAGACAATCTCACACACGCTCGGACCACCCCCAGCAGAACACACACTAATAATGACCTGCGTGCAAAGACGCTCTCCAAGTTTTCCTGCGGTCCGAACAACTCACGTGGTGCGAAAGCACCGGAGGAGGCAGGGAGGAACAGTTGCCTAAAATAAAAAAAAAAGTCAAAAAAAGCACATGCAACGTGACAAACAAACTGAAATTCTGAGAATGTCGCTTCAGAGAATCGCCATCTTTCATTGCAAGGATTCCCACGTCCCACCAAACACCCCCACTGGATCATTTCTGTCCCCGACCCCAGCCATCTGAAGTGGTTTTAGTCATCCGTCAACACATGGGTGTTTCGCCCTCCAGGAGCTGACTGAACAGGGACGTAAACAGAGCCTCTTTACGCGTCGGGGAACCCCTTTTAGCAGCTCTTTGGGGAGGGTAGCGGTAGTGTGTGTGTGGAGAGGGGGGGTGACCTTTGACCTGCAGTTTTGAGACCACAAACGCCGCGTTCGATTAAGCAGAGCTTCTCGCTCATAGATAGTGACAGCTGACAAACTTCAGCAAGCACCGGATATTTGCTTTAGCTCTGGACAATAACCTTTTATCATCTGCAGAAAATCAGGGGGAAGAGAAGAAGAGTGGCCCCTTCGAACCTGCCCATGCACAAACCAAAGGGACCACAACTGTTGAGCTGTTTTAGACTATTCTGCAGAACACAACAAAAGTCACACATATCTTAAACTTCTTTAACAGTTTGACTTGCGTCAAAACTATCTTTACATCCAAAATAATTCATTCATACTTCGAATATTAAATGGAGACCAGAATAAAATAATTGCAATACACTTTGAGGCCGTTTTAGACCGTGTCATTAAAATGTGTTAAAGACAAGGTGTTAATGGGAAAGTCCACTCACTTTAGTGATGATGAGGGGCTCGCCGTGCTCGAGACCTCCTTTCAACGTGAACCCCCAGGGTGCACCCCCGCTCAACTGGACCTGAATGTGGTGGAAAGAGACGAGCTGCTCAACTGTTTCCATTCTCTCCGGCCGGTCCGTTTACCTTCTTCTCTCTCAGGCTCGGAGCCGGGCGGCGTCGCTGCTAGCTTATCGACGCCGGTAGCGGTACCCGGGACTCTCCATCACCGCTATAGCATCAACAACGAATGGAAGGTGGAGGGACGGAATGAGAGAAAGGAAGAGGGGGAGGGCAAAAACTTCCTGCCAACGCTAAGTTAGGTGGAGTTACGGCGACGACGTTTCGCACTTCCGGTCGAGTTATCGCCTAAAAGCAAACTTTAACATGTCTTATCGCTCCTCTCACTTTTGAGACGCGGTCAAATAGTCATTTGTGCTCGTTTCGTATGGTATAATTAGCTTATTTTAGTTTTATCTCCCAAAATCATACTTTACGGATGTTTTATTTTGAGACCTAAATAAACTACTTCCTGTAGTGCTTCCGTGAAGTAGACGGAGTAACAAAACTTAGGGAAAAGTTTTTTCCCAAAAGAGGCAAGCGTCCCCTCCCACTATTCGAACAGGGGGATGTGATTGACAACTCTGTGACCCAATAGCAAGGAGTCTCTGACGAGCAGTATCCAATCAAATGAGCCAGGAGGCAAAGACAGCTGTGCGATAACATTAGGCGGTTAGAACGGGTAAAAACAATAACCGAAGTCATTTCTCTAACTCGTGGCTCGTTAGTTTGGCAGTCCAGTTACGCCTAAGAGCTTATGAACACTCATTAAGAGATGGCTGTTATTTTCACATTTACTTCGGTTGGCTGCATGACAGCAATGCAGTATCCCCAAATTATTTCGAATGAACTGAAGTAGCCACCAGTATGCAATCGTCATTTTCTAAAGACCTCAAACTCCTTTGCCTTACCATAATTAATAAAATGTTCATTAAAATGGCCAAGTTTAAAAGAATACATCTGATCCACTCATACATTGTTCCTTTTTTAATCTTGTATAAGCCCTACAAAATGCTTTACACCTGTTTTTCATTCACAGACACTATACATAACTTATTACCATATGAAAACATAATACATCACTTTGTGTCCACAGTCACTCACAGATAACAAAAGAGGCTATGTAGGGTTTAATGTCACGATCAAGGACAATTTGCCACATGGGCATAGAGGGAATCAAACTGGCAACTAAATCAGCTGAGCTAGAGCACTTTAAAAGTAAGTTATGGTCCGTTAAGCAAATCAGAAAAAGGAATATATCAGTCTGGTTGATAGTAACATACAAGATAATTCCATGGGAGCAGTTGAAATGCACTTTAAGAGCCGCATACATTTTCTTTCCTGGTCAGATCGAGAAGGAATTAGCCCATCTCTCATCATTTTGCCCCCAAACCATCATATTTCTCATGATTAAGTGTAAAGTGAAGAATGTTTAAGCTGACAGTGCACCACGCTGACGCTTCCCAGACCTACACCAGCACCTTCAAGTACATCTGCACACAGGCCAAGAACAACACTCGCAATCACGTCCCACACATTTCTGAAAAGCACCATATTAAGACGCATTCAAACAAGAAAACATGCCGCGCACAGACCGTTACGCAAGCCTGACACAATACATCTTTGTCGTGCCTCTCCAGTCATAATCGGCTACAATAACACAGTTAAGAAAAAAATACTGTAAAATGAAGTACAAGTATTGTAATTTTGGAAATGTGCTTGCTGTTGTTTCTCACTTGTTGTATTGATTGGAATGCAGCATTTTCCAAAAGGCTGCTGCTTTAAAATCTTATTGATATGCTCTCCAAAATGTTTGATGACCCTTTGTTTGGTTTTTGGGGGGTTAAGGGTTTGGATATTCAAATCCCACTAATGGGTTATCTGAATGCAACTTTAAGAAACTTCTGTTTATTCATAGAAATTGTACAAGCATACTTGTCAAAACCCTAAGAAAAACCTTGCTTTTGTTTTTTTGTTTGGTTTAAAGATTACTTTTTTTCCCCAAATTGTATCTTGCTTTAATGTTCCCTTTCTCCATTTTAAATAGTCGGCAAAAACTTTCACAAACATACCAAGATCTTAAATTGGTGTTAGGCCAAAGTTCTTGTGTAGTAACTCAAGGCTGAACTATTTTTGATGGATCTCTTGTTCGGCTCTGGCTGCCTGATGCCATCTGAAGTTTTCCCACACTCGCCGCAGACTGAAATGATCGGGATCACAGATAATCGCTGCTGCAGAATTCCACCACATCACAGTGCCACTTCACAGAACATGCGCATGCGAGACTGAGTCACTATCTTTGTGTACCTCACAAGAAAGACTGTGCTGCGTAGAGGAGATAGAGAATAGAAGAGAAAGGAGGACAGAGTTGAACAAGCCCAGACATCTCACTTCTCATCAAGACCACAAGGATTTTGTTTGGGTCAGGGCCTTCTCAACCCTCTGAGAGCCTAAACTATGGTATTTGGCTCGGTAGCTGGGGCTGCTTTCATGTGAGATCAAGTTAAGAGGGGGAAAAAAACAACAATGATAGAGGCTGTATCGTTCATTCTTTCCATTTTAGACCCCCCTCGCCAAAAGAAAAGTCAAAAGTCAAAAGGCTTCCAATTATAGAAAACTCGTACAAACACTGTATCAACACACTGAAATTGGACTTTTCAAATATAGTCAAGATGGTAGTAGCTTTAAACAAAAAGTACACCGCAATGCAAGAAGCCATGCCCGGACCAAAAAAAGAAGTTGAGGCTCAGTGATACATCTTTGTGCCACTAGGTGGCGCCAAAAGCAGAGGGACAGGCTAATATGAGTATTTGTGGTTGACAAATTTGGGAGGGACTGTTTATAAGTTAAAGTAAATTGGCTTTTAGCATATGACAGTGAAATATCTACAAACCAAACTCTTGTGGAATCTCAAAACAATTCAGTTTGTTTTGTTTTGGCCTCAATAAGTTTATTGTCACATGACATTTTGATTAAGCATTTTGTATATTGAGCTGTTTCAGTGTTGGCTGGTAAAAATAAACATTTTACTTTAAGTTGTGGTTCTAAGGCTTTATTTCATTCGGTTGTTCATCAGTTCATAAACAAAACATCCACTTTCAAACAAGCTGAAGATAAAGGAGATCTCCAAATCCATCTCCTTTACTGATGTATCATTCAGTATCTCTCGGTTAAACAACACAAATCCCATTCTTAAAGACCTTCAACTGATATTTATCTCTTTAGTTATTCAATGTAGTTTCCATACTGCTGATCATTGCCCTTCATTTGTTTTTTTTGTTTTTTACTAACTAGCAAACAATCTTTTCCAGCAGGTTCCAACCTGCTATTGGCTGAAGTGGCATGACTTAAACATTACATACATAAGACAATCACTATCTGAAAGTTAAGTTAAGAAATTAAAACTATTAAATTCAGCAAAGGCCTTGGAAATAAACCTGGATCAACATGCGGTCCATCCACTCACCAGTGAGGCCCGGTCAGCAGAGGAGGGCTGGCTTTCAGAGGGTATAACCACACTGAAGGAAATAGGAAGAAAACGCTGAGGTTTGCCACGACCAACATGACTGAGGCAGTGTGGGATTATCTGGGCAGAAAACAAAACAAATGACAACCAATATCTGAAGATGGTCTGTGGGGGGTGAGGAATGCAAGAGGTCATTTCAGTTATGGATCTTTCACGATCATTGTAATGCAAAGAAACACTTTTTTCCCCTTATTTCCACGTTTTGCTGTTGAAAATAAGTTAAAAAAAAACTCACATATAGGCCCACACAATCGAGATTAAACTCGCGTCACAATGTAGAAGTGTAGAAGAAGGACTAAAAGTAGGCTACGGACAAATGGTGTTGGGCTTGCATGATTAACCACTCTGGTGCGCGTATTTTTACGCACCCCTCATGGGGCTTTCTCTGCGCTCCCGTTGGCTGCTTCCCGACATCCCACGAGCCTTAATTGGCACCGTCAATTTGAGCAGGAAACGTCCAAAATGGTTTGCCGTCAGGTGCGCCCGTAAGTCACGCCCTGCGCCGTGAGGAGGATGGTTGCCAACTATAGCCTCGCTGGTGGAGCTCGCTAGCACCAGAGGTTTTTTATAACCAACATGAGGGCGACCCGCGCCAAGCCAAGCTTACTGAGTGTCTGCGCTCTGACCTGTCTGATCTACCTGCTGTGCTCCACCTGCACCGGGGTGGGAGCCGGGCGCAAGATGGCCTCCTCCCGTCACCCCACCTTGAGGCGCGGCCGGCGGAGTCACCAGGGCGCCAGGCACAGGGGAGCGCACCACCGTCCGCTCACGGACGAGCAGAAAGCCGACCAGAACCTGCAGTTCATGCTCAGCCTGTACCGCAGCGCGGCCGAACCCGACGGCAGGCCCAAACAGCACCGGAAGTTCGGCTCCAACACCGTGCGCCTGCTGAGACCGGCCGCGTCCTCGGTGCACTACCTGCCCGCTCCAGGAGGTGAAGGAGTCCATTCCGACCTCGCTTTTTTCCCCACCCGTTTGGTATTTAAGTCACAACAGTGGACGACTGGACAAAGGTTTTTCAGCCTCCACTTGAATCTTTACACGTTAATAGGAAGCCAAAAAAAAAAAAAAAAACATGCGCAAGCATCAAACTACATTTATAAAATTCTATTGAGCTTAAAAGCCAATATGGTATCGGTCCCTTTTTGTTCTTCAACACACTCCTAGACGAGCTTTCTTGTCATTTCTTTAAGCAGGCCTTTTCCTTGGGGATGGATAAACAGGATTATTGTTGAAAAGCTCTTTTCTTCAGCCCTTTTCTCAATTCTCTGTCAAGATGTTTTGGTTCAGGATCTAAGCAAGATTTATCACTCCACCACCACCCATTATGGGTTCAGTTTCTGCTCTGGGGGTGGTTAATCCTTCCATCAGACCTTTGGCCATTGATTTCCTTCCACTTCTTGTTTCATTTGGCATTCCTCTGGCTTTTTGTCCTCGTTTCCCCTCTCTTAAAAAAATGGCTTCTCGGTTCATTTCTAAATCTGGAAGTATTTCTCAGCTCCCGCTGATGTCTGTCAAACTGCATCATGTTTGGTATTTTGTAGCTGGTTCTTTAAAAAAAAAAATCAAATAAAATGCAGAACAAGTTCTGACTTTGTGGCAGACTGTTAAAAACTGGTCCTTAAGGCTTGGCCCTCCTGTTTGGAAGACGTTTTTTTCTTATTTTATTTTGTTTGGGACTTGTAGAAGACTTCTAGATGACGTCCAACACTACAGTTTGAGTTGGATCACTACCCACAGAAAAAGGACGTATAACTTGTGAACAGTTATGTGTAAATCCCATGTAAACCCTCCTCTGAAAGAGTCAAAGCGAGGGGAAAATGACTAACGAATCTCCTCTGTTCCACAGACCTCTGCTACACCTTTACGGTGCAGTACAAACTGGACACTCTCCCCTCGGAGCAGCTGGTCCGAGCCTCCTTCGTCCACCTGCGCTCCTCCCCCTACGCCTCCTCTCCGCCGCCACCGCCGCGCACCCACCAGGCCGCGGAGCCCCCCCGCTGCCGGGCCCAGGTCACCTCGCTGGGCGCGGAGAGCCTGGTCACCCTGGAGCCCCACGAGCGCTGGCTGGAGACGGACATCACCGCCCACATCGGCGCCCACATCCTGCAGGGGAAGGGTCAGGGGGAGGGGGACCACCTGACCCTCACCGCCCAGTACTGGTGCACGGAGCCCGGGCTGGCCGAGGAGGCCGGCGGCGCCTGGTGGTGGTGGACGCCCCATCGGGGGAGGAGACAGTGGAGCAGGGACCCCCACCTGGAAGCCCCCTCTCTCCTCCTGTACCTAGAGGAGGAGAGGGAAGCCAAGGAGTGGATGGGGGACTTGCTGGGCGTGGAGGGGGAGGGCATCATGCGGCGGGTCAGCAGGTGGCACCCGGCCGTCCGCCACCGCCGCAGCTCCGCCCTGGACGGCTCGCCGCCGGACCCCACGGGCGCCTCGGCCGGCGTGCTGAAAAACCTCCCCCCCTCCTTCACCACGTCCCCCTCGTCCTCCGTCGTCCGCGACGCGCCCGGCGCCAAACGCAAAAGCGCCGCGCCCAAGAACCGCTGCAAGCTCCACTCCTTCCGCCTGTCCTTCACAGAGCTGGGCTGGGGCCACTACTTCCTGGCCCCGCCGGTCTACAACCCCCGCTACTGCCAGGGCGACTGCCCCCGCGTGCTGGACTACGGCTACCACTCGCCCAACCACGCCATCATCCAGACGCTCGTCCACGAGATGGGCATCGGGGACGTGCCCCCGCCCTCCTGCGTGCCCTACAAGTACATGCCCATGAGCGTGCTGCTGGTGCACAAGGAGAAGGTGGAGTACCGGGAGCTGGAGGACATGGTGGCCGAGTCCTGCACATGTCGCTGACCGCTCGGGACGGCTCGGATCGGGGGGGCGTTTCTGCGCAAAAAAAGGGAGAAAAAACGAAAAAAAAAAAGGAAAAAAAAAAAAGACGCCGACCCGGGCAGTTTTGAGCGGTCAGACGATTGACCTGGAACTCGGCAGCTAACGACGGTGAGCTCAAGGCCAGAAGGAGGAAGTTTGTTGTTGGTTTCAGATCTTTACATTTCTTGTTAAAGCACTTTAAAGGCAATTACTGTGTGTTCACTTTTTTTTTCTTTTCCTTTTTTTTTTTTTTTT